CGAAAGACAGTAAGTTCCCCTCAGACATACATTCATATAAACTCCTACCCCTAACTGAATCGCGATTTGAATCGTCACATATTTGAATCGATTTTCAACTGGTTCGCGGTTAATCGTTACATCCCTAATGGTTAACATTACCCCTTTTTGCAAAAGTGCTATAAAACAAGATTTTAAACAAACAAACAAACCAGAAATGACCGGAAAAGGGATTCCGTGCCATTTTTAAAGGGGTCATGTGATGCGATTTCAATTTTTCCTTTCTCTTTGAAGTGTTGAGCTATGATACATATTTACTGCATGGGCAAATGTCACTTTAAGAGTTTGGCCTCTCAGTGCTGCTAACCAATGCTAATGTAATCGACGAAGGCTTAATCAAAACAGTTAAATGTTTATAAAGACGCTTGTTTTTATTTGGAATATTTTTGAAAGTTGCACAATATTGCGGCAAAGTCAACATCGTTAAATGCTTCACAATCCCTCGTTTAAGCCTGCAACATCTACCCAATAAGAGGCTACAAGCGAGCGGCTTGCACACGAATGAACGCTTGAAATGATGATGAAGATGATGAGCGCGAGCGACTGCAGGTGCGGCACATATTCAGCGCTCACATCCTCCATCATGTGCACCGAGCATAAAGCAGCGATGATGAGAACTCACATGTGCTGCTGCTGCTGCTGCTGCTGCTGGGTGTCTGATGCAGCTGAAACCTCGAGTGTCGCACTGGCTCGGATGATGGAAGATGATCAGGGCGCAGCGGCGGTGTTTAACGACGAGCTGAGCTGACCACCCGCGACGCTCGCTTTGAGCATTTGCAGGAGTATCGTCTCGAAGGCCAGCCGCGGCAGTCGGGCTTTAAGCGCACGCTATCGTCGCACTCGCGTCTCACCTCGCCATGCCTGGAAACTTCTCCGTTTGAAAAGGACTGCTGAATCCTGCTTTAGTGGCTCTGTCTTCCACGCCCCTCGCGCGCAATCAGACATTCCTCTGCCTCCTCCTCATCACAGCAGGCATCAGCGCACCTTTCACATTGCATGACATCGATATTTTGCAGGATTTCCAAGCAGCTCTTTTCCATACAGCAACAGCATGCAGTGAAGAGGAAACGGCTCTTAAAAAGTAATTCATACGCGTTCAACTCATGCGCATTAGTTCAAGTAGACCCTGTTTGTCACACAAAGCTGTCCACTTGTTAAATCATGACATAAGGAATTCTGTTTCTGGGTGCAAGCCTCTACTCGTTTCCATTCCTATCTCGAAAGGGTTCTCGGTGTCCCGGACACCAGTGTTTTAACCATTCATAAAAGATGACTATCTGAGATTTGGGTATGAGATAAAGGTTAAGATCATGATTCTTGCAGCACACTGTGTATAGAAGCCTGTTTCTGCCACGAAATAAAAAATCTAATAAAATGTTAGTTGCGATTTTGTCTCACAATTCTGACTTTTCTTCTCATTCATCTCAGAATTCAGTCTTATTTTCTCCCAATCCAGAATTTACATCTCACAATTCTGCTTTTTTCTCCGCAAAGAAAAAAATAGAAGAGGTAATTGCAACTTTTTAGCTCACAATTCTGACTTTATTTCTCACAATTGTGAGTTTATCTCTCACTTTTTTCTTAGAATTACAAGTTTATATCTCACAATTCTGTATTTATATCTCGCAGTTCTGAGTTTTTTCATATGTAAAAGTCAGATTTGTGAGATAAAAAGTCACAGTTACCTTTTTCATTATTATTTTTTTTTTAATTATTATTATTTTTTATCAAGTGGCAGAAACAAGCTTCCATGTACCTTGAAGGTATATTAGCACCATTTGTTGTTTGCTTTTGGCATCTGATTCTAGTTTGGCCCTGGAAACAATGACAGTTTTGGAGCTTGGCAGCTCTTGGTCATGGTATGCTTTCACTCTATGGAAAAGAGCAGCTCCAACGTTTTGCTAAACATATTCCACAAGAAAGTCATATGGGTTCGGAACATGATGGGAGTGAGTAAATGATGACACTGTTCTTTTTTCATTTAGGCATATCATGAAGGAAGGAAGAGGAATCATCAGAATGTACAAAACTAAATTTCAGTGTCCCAGAGAGCATTCCAAGTGTTCTTTCATTCAAGATAAGACAGAAAAAGACAAAAAATAGCTTATTCAAGTTTTGAACAAGATTAGACTATTTAAAACCAAATGCATCATGTTTTATAGACTAAAGCCTGTCGTGAAGGTGTGTTATTGAATTAAATTCACATGTAACACAGCCCGCAGTTGGACAATAAAAGGTTCGGCTCAGATATTCACAGTGAAATTTGAGTCGTGGCACTTTCTATTTCTCTACATCTACAGTCAAGACTTGTGCCTTTTACAATAAACAACACATTTACTGTATAAATGTACTTATTCTCTTTACTGGACAAATGTTATACGAGAAGTATGAATTATAACTAGTATGCAGTGTACAAATGCAATGTAGAGCTCAAATAGTTCAGACAGTGAATACATGAGTGAGCAAGGACGTAAATACTGGATGAGTGTAAACAAGACATCACCACTTCACATCAGCTGATAGATCACATACCAACCCAAATAACAGGAACTCTTCCCATCAGTCGCTGCGTCTGCTCAGAAATGTCTGAGGTCTAAGTGACGACACTGAACCGCAGGAGAACAGCACGGTGTCACCGATGGCGGCAGACACTGCTGAATTAAACACAGGCACTGGACTGCAGGTGGGTCACACAGACAGATGCTAAACCTGCTAGCGTGAAAATGACAACAGAATCTAAGTCTGTCAAGGTTTTTACAGTATTTCTAGAGCTGTTAGCTGAACACAAGTGCTGTTTCAGGTCTGTCCGTCTGCCACTGACTGCTTTGACTAAACACTGCTGTTTTATAGGCTGTCCATTTTTGGTTTGTGTGCTATTGCTCTCCTTGAGTGATAAAATGGGCGAAAACGTCTCATAGACTGGCAGAGCAACTGAGACCAGAAACAGATAGACCAACAAATGACAGAACCAAAATTTAGCAAGAAAACTGTGTCCCAGTTCCCAAAGAATTTCTCTCATGATATGCATATATTCCAGTATGATAATATCCACAAAGATTCATGAAGGTCAGGATCAAATCTTTAGAAGAGTTATAAACACGAGAAAGTGAAGTACTTTATGAAATGCTATTTCATGTCATCTGAGCTGTCACTGTCTCTTATGTAATGTGTGTGTTTGTGTGTGTGGCTCTACTGGATCGAACTGACCCACCCAATCTTTCCAGCTATTATGATGAGTGATTGGTGTGGTTAACTGCTGTCTGTCTGTGGGCAGAGTCAATACAACACCGTGATGTGTGTGAGTGTGTGTGTGTGACTAAAAGCTCTGTAGAGAATCAGGGAAATGTAATTTGCCTATGGTGGATCGATCAGCTGCTGGAGCGCAGCCATCCTGAGATCAACAGCATGAGAGAGAGTGAAGAGTGGTGTCTTGTTATTATGATTGCACAGTCAGCAGAGGAATACTGACAGGAAGGATGGAAGGAAGAAGGACAGAATGAAATGCACTATTTAAAGAAATAGTTTACCCAAAAATGAGAATTTGCTAATACTCCGGAATTTAACATATAAACATAGTTCGTCTTCGTTATGATGCCATGTACAGTTTTGAGTGTTTCATTTTTAATTTTATGAAAGCTTCAAGTGCAGTTAATTATTTGTACGTGCATACAGACGATGGAGGTGTGGAAGCTTTTATTTGCCGTCAAACGGTTAAGCACTGCCGTGTATGGGGTGTACTATATGCACTTTTTGCTGATTGCTAAGCAAACTGAGAGGAGAACTAACGTGTATACGCTCGCCAGCCGTCTGGCCAAAATCCCATAGTATTCAGGCGTCAGACGTCACGGTCACGTGTCGGAGCTGCGCTCAAACTGCACGGAGGCGTGGCGGCAACGTAGCAAAGAAAGGATTTTTTTAACTTTGCGTCTGGATAAGGTATGTGTGGATAAGCGTCTGGATAACTTTTTTTTTACTTTGCGTCTGGATAAGGTACGTGTGGATAAGCGTCTGGATAACGTGTGTGGATAAGTGTCTGGATAACGGGTGTGTGTGGATAAGCGTCTGGATAACGTACGTGTGGATAAACGTACGTGTGAATAAGTACATTGATAATCAT